ATGGCCCTCTGCCTCCCATGTAACTGAGATTATAGGTGTGCACCACCACATCAGGTTCTTTGTTGAAAAGGCATCTCCCTAACTTTTTGGCTGGTCTGTCCTTGAACTGCACACAGTCCTCCTCATCTTCATCTCCCAAGTGCCTGGGATAACAGGTGTGAGCCACCCTGCCTAGCCTGTGGTTCTTTTTTCTTTTTTCCCCCTGTTGGGGTCTTATTATGTACCCTAGGTAGCTTGCAACTCTCAATCCTCCTGCCTCAGCCTTCTGAGTGCTAGAATTGCAGGTGTGCCCCACCACACACAGCTTAGTGGTTGTTCCTTTAATAAAAAGATTATGTTCTAGAAAATATTCAAACAGGATTGAGGAGTGGCTCAAGTGCCTGCCTAGCAAGTGCATGGCCCTGAGTTCAAACTCTAGTACCACCAAAAAAAAAGAAGAAGAAGGAAAAAAGGAAGATAAGATTCAGACAGACCACGCTGGGACATCCCATATCGTGAGGTGCTCCTCGCCCAGCCCTGACGACAGCACCTCTCTCTCCTGTGGATTCATAGAACCAACCGAAGCTGAGCTGTCAGCCCAGGCCCCTGCCACTTCTAGACTTTAAATTTTCCCACCTGTTCTTCACCTGTCCAGAGGCAGTTTAGCTGGGGTTCCGTCATCCGAATATTCCACAAGTCCATCAGTGTGGCCTGACTTCATGACCCTGGCCAGGGGAAGGAGGAGCCACCCTGAACTTTGCAGTTGTCACAGTGCACCTGTCCTCTCCTCTCTCTTACAGCTGATGCTTTCTTCAAAGCTGCGATAAGCCTGGTGCCAGAGGTTCCGAGGACAATCAGCGTGGATGGGAAGGTGCGACCGTCGGAGTCATTCCTCCTGGAGTTCCTCTGCAACTTCTTCTCCACGTTATTAATTGTCCCGGTGCGTGCCCCCAAGAGCCACAGGTGACGTCACTTTCGTGCCTTAGCCCTGAAGTGATACCAGTTTTCTGATTAGATGTTGGAATTGTTCAGTGAATTCTCCTTCCAGCTGGCTCTGGGGTTCGTTTGTTGAGGGGTTGTTTAAAGTTAGCCTGGGCTGAGTGGCCTAAATAGCAAGTCTCTCTTTGTCACAGACCTGAAGGGTGCAGCCTCAGAACCACAGGCTGGAACCTGGCTTCTCCTCTTCCCAGCTTTGTGGTCAAGGTAATCATGTATGAGTAACATGTCCATAAAAGGAAGGTAGAAATAGTCTCTACCTCTTGGGCTGTTGTGAGGCTTAAATAAGTGAATGCACGGAATTCAAGAAACCCTGAGTTCAAACCCCAGTACCACCAAAAGAAATAAAAAGTAATAGGCCTGGGCTTCTTCAGGGACCCAGCAGGGGGGATTTCCTGGAGCTGCTCCCAGCTGGGATCGTAGCCCAGGGCCATTAACTCAGGGTCCACCCACTCCATAGTGGTCTAGCAGGGTGACCATGAATTTGGGTGAAGTTAAAAAAAATAATAAAATGACGTCTTTAGTTTCACGAACCTCTAGGTGGAATTTACCTCTCACCTGGTTATGCACTACAGACGACAAGTCTGAGTACTCACGATAGTCGCTGGGGCTTTGTCACAAAAAGAAGCCAACAGATATTTCCAAATTGCATTTTGGGCGCAAAAGAGATTTCAGATTGTCAGTGTTCTTCCTTCCTCAAAGTAGTGCTTCGTGTGGTGGTTCACGCCTGTAATCCCAGCTGCTCAGGAGGTGGAAGCAGGAGGATTATGAGTTCAAGGATACTTGGGCAAAGATAGCAAGACCCTGACTTAAAAACAAAATAAATATAGTGGAAACCCCCAAGCTGACCTTTTGGACCTTCTGGGCAATTCAGGAACAGGTGGTCTCAGGGCCACCCTTAGAGAAACATCACTCTGAACTTGACTCTGCTTGTGCAGGTACAGGGTTCCTTCCTGGGGTGAGGAAATGTTCTGAAATTGCTGGCAGTGATGACAGCCCCACCCTACGTCACTCACAGTCATGAAATTGTGCGTCCTTTCCTGAATGGCGTGTTGTTCTCTGTGGATTGTTTGTCTCTAAAGTGGAGAAAACAAGACGGGCTCAGCTTCGACTCTCCTTGTCAGAACCGCAGTTCTGAGAGCCCCATCAGGGACTGAGGTCCCTAGATGCTGATTCCAGAGCATTCGAGCCCCTGTTAGGACTGCAACCTGTGTCTCCCCTCTCAGGAGAGTCTAGTCAGTTGTCACCTGTCCAAAGAGGGAGTCTATGGTGGTCATCACTCATTCGTTAATTACCTGCCCAGGTAGTTTTTCTAGATGTTAAAAATAACCGGCGTCAGGCCTGTAACCCTAGCTACTCAGGAGGCAGAGATCAGGAGGATCATAGTTCGAAGCCAGCCCGGGCAAATAGTTCACGATATCCTATCTTGAAAAAACCCATCACAAAAAAAAGGGCTGGTGGACAGGCTCAAGGTATAGGCCCTGAGTTCAACCCCCAGTACCACAAAACAAACGAACAAACCAAAAAACCTGGAGTATCTTCAAGAACTTTTTTTCCTTAGGGACTGGGACTGAAACCCAGGGCCTTTCATGTGCTAGGCCAGTGTCCTGCCACTGAGCGCCACTCCCAGCATCCAGAGCCCCTTTGAAAGGCCTCGGAGTCAGTCCTGACCCAAGTACTTCATAGCTCTGGGACCTTTCGTGAAAACGCTAAGCTGCCTTTGTCCCCTTTCATCTTTCTTTTTTCTGCGGAACTTGTGCTTGAACTCAGGGTCTATACCTTGAGCCACTCCACCAATCCTTTTTAGTGAAGGGTTTCTTTTAAGGTAGGGTCTCACAAACTATTTGCCCTAGCTGGCTGTGAATCTCGAGCCTCTTGATCTCTGCCACCTGAGTAGCTAGGATTACAGGCATGAGCTACCAGTGCCTGACTCCTCCTCCTCTTTCTAAGATGTTGTTGAAATGCCCACTGTTCAGGACTGCTGCACAGGTTGACTGGAGTGGCAGCTGTTCCGAAAGTGCTTTGTGAAGGAGGCATCCGTGTCCCTGGTGTGTGAGCCAGTACAGAGGGCCAGGGCAGCTGGGGAGCATTTGCAGTGAGTTCTCCACATCCAGAAATTGGTAGATCAGTGAAAACCCCAACATCACGGCTCCCCCGAACACTCAGCTCCTTCAGGACAGCCCATGTCCTGTGACCTGGCTGGGCCACAGCTGGGGAGCAGCTGCCCCAGTGCAGGTAGCCGGTGCGGTTGCCTGCCAGCTCCCTTAGGCATTGTGGGGTGGCTCATGCTCGTTGGGTTTTAGTTCCTGGTGTAATGACAATGTGGCAGACACTGGGTGTCCGGTGCCATGCCACCATCTTTCGTCAAAGACCATCTCTAGGAATCCCCCTCCCCCAACCCATAAGAGGGAGAAAGAATTATGCCTTGTTCACTTTTGCAAACCTGGAACTGAAAGGTCGAGTGGTGTGTCCCAGGTGGCACAGCTAGTAAGGAGCAGAGCTGGGATCTGAACCCAAAACGTTTGTTGTTTGCTGTATTTACTCAATGTCACAGAGTGTTCACGGCCCCACGCCCCTCCTCATGAGATGCAGCGTTAGTCCACCCCTTCCCTATCTGCTGTTTCACTTTCCTGCAGCCAGCCTCCATCCAAAAGTACTGAATGGAAAATTCCAGAAATCCCCGAGTTTTAAATTGTGCACCATTCTGAGTAGCGTGATGAAATGTCACCATCCCGGCTGGGACGTGAGTCATCTTCTTGTCCACGGACCCATCCTGTGCGTGCTGCCTGTGCCGGAATCATTTCATAGTCCCGATGTTAGGTCACCTGTCAGGGTCATGGCACTTGTGTCACCGTGGCCCTGATTTTACTTACTAATGCTGAGGCACAGGAGTGGTGGTGCTGGTGATTTGCAGACGCCAAAGAGAAGCTGTGGTATTTAGTGTCTGTCATCTTCGAGTGAGAAGGTGAACTTTCTCAAGGCATTAAGCAGAGAAGAAATTGTGACTTTTATTACAGGGTGTTGTTACAGTCGTTGTATTTTATTACTACTCATTGCTAGTCTCTTTCTGTGCCTAATTTGTAAGTTAATCTTTGCTGGGGGTCTGCACGTACAGGGAAGAACAGTGTATGTAGGGTTAGGCGCTGCCAGGCATCACTGGGGCTCCCTCGGCTCCCGCTGGCTGTCAAGTGCGGCAGGAGGCTCAGCCCAGACTGCCAAGGGCGATGGCTGGGTGAGCCCCAGGGGATCACTGGGCCGAACCTGAGCCAGGCCCACTGCAAGGGGATTTGATGCGAAGATGACACTCACATCCCACGTTCGCCTAGTTCAGATTGGTTACCTCTCGTGTTACTGCCTTAAAAAAAGTTAAGTTTTATTTCCTTGTAGTAAGACAGGTAAGAAACTTTCAAACGCACTGGACAGTACCGTTGCCCATAGGAACAGTGGTGCTCAGCGGCTTTCTGGAGCGTGTTCATCTTGCTTAACTGAAACCTCTGTGCACGTTGAGTAGTAGCTCCCCAGCCCCCTGCTGCGCCCCTCTGCAGGCAGCATGTGCTCCCAGTTCCATTAACTGGACAGTTCTAGGTTCCACGTGTGTCCTCCTGAGCCTGCTCATTTCACTTACCATGATGTTCTCCAGGTGCACCTGTATATGGCAGACTCTCCTTATTTTTCAGGGCTAAATAGTACTCTGGTGTGTATAAACCACCTTTTCTTCATGTGCTCATTTATGGAACTAGTAGGTGCTTTCCACATTGTGACTCTTGTAATGGTGCTACAATAAACACATGAGGGCTGCTGGATCATATGGTAGCCCTATTTTTAATGTTTTGTGGAACCTCTGTAGTGTTTTTTACAATAGCTGTACCATTTTACATTTCCACCAACAATGCCCAAGGTTAAGTGTCACCAGTTTGCAAGTGGTCCACTGGGATCCAAAGCCAGAATGTCTGTGCTGTGCCACTGTCTTTGCTTCCACCATCTTGGCCCTCCCTGGAAGTCAGCCAGAGTCTTCTTGGATCTTACTTCTGCTAAAGAATGGAGTACAGCAGGGGCTCTCCTGCAGACTGGAGACCCAGAAGGTCACCACTAGTAAAGGGACAGTGTCACAGTGTCAAGCCCATGGTCGGGTTAGGTGGGGGGAGGGGTGAGCCTGCCAGCTGCCCCTTGGGAGCTGCCTCCTTGGTGTGGCAGCCTGGGTGGGAGCCTTGCCAGAGACTCCAGGAGCCTCTCATGCAGCTCCCACCAATGCAGGGCCTTCTCTTCTCCTTTGCAGAACCTGTATCTGCCTGGACCTAGTTGCTGGCAGGGAGCCATCCAAGAACATTTTTTAAAAGGTTGTCACAGTCACTGAAGCGTGGACATCGTATGGAAAACTTTGTCCTGTGCAGGATTGGAGGTGATCGCTCACCTCCTCAGTTGTGAGCAGAGCCCACCTCTCCTTTCCTGTTTGCCTGCCCCTTTGACGGTGTGTGTGGTGGTCTCCCACAGGGCTCTAGCGTTCATGTTGAAATTAAGTTACTGGAACATTCAGACTATTGCTATCCTGAGGCAGATCCTTAAATAAAATGCATTTTTGGACATCACAGCAAAACAACCTAGTTAGAAACAGCTGTGGGCAGAGGAAGGCTGTGGGACATTGCCAGCTGAGACTGACTCCGTGCCAGGTGGCCATGGCCCCGGCAGGCGACGCATGGAGCTTGCAGACTTAGGCTTCTGCAGCACCCACCATCTTGGAGCGGTGGGTGAATGGGTTGTTCACTCTCACTGCTCACACCGGATTGGGACCCTGTGAGCCCCCCTTCAGTTGCAGGGCTTTTCTTGCTCCACGCCTGCGTTCAGAACAGTGCACTATGTAGACACCTCTCCCTAGATTCACTCATCTCTACAAGAGACGAACTGAACAGTGTCCACAGTGAGGAAGGTCGCCAGGCAGCAAACCTTGGGTCCCTATGTACCAGTGGGGTGACCTTGGGTGGGTCACTTCCCCTCTCTCTGGCTCACTTCCCATCTGTGAAATGGAGTTCATAATAGCATCTTGAAAAACTTGAAGTGTCAGTCCCTTGACTTTTGTAACTGCCTCAGCGTCTTGCACACAGAGGGTACTTGACAAAGTAATCAACATGGCTTTCCCAGTGCTTGCCATGTGCCCAGGGCCATCCCAGAACCAGGAACACATTGGGGTACACACGGTACTCCCAGAGCCTCCACTGACAAAATCCAGTGTGCAAGTGGGCAGATCTGGCCTTGTAAGGCAGACGTGGCAGTGGATGAAGTCCCTGTCCCGCAGGTTTTGGGCTGGTTGTAAAGAGACGAGTGAGGCACAAGACGCGGATGGCACTTCATGAAGCAGTAAATAAGATGGTTGCAGCTGGCAGGAATGCTGGGAAGAAGATAAAACAGGAAGATTTGTAATAGAGTGTTTAGGGAAGGAGGAGGGGTGGGGGCCAGTGTCCAAGACCTAAGACTCTGAGGAGCTGCTGGCCAAATCCTGGGCGAAGATTCCAGGCCATGGGGCGGTTGGCCAGAATACCCTGAGCACATGTGCGAGCCTCCCACAGCCTCCTCTGCCCTTCTGTGCCGGTGATACTGGCTTCTGGGAACTACGTCTCCTGGGTGACCTTCCTTCTGACTTCCAAGTTATTCAGCCACCAGGAGGCACTGCCCACAGGCCGGAGAGGGGGGCTGCTGGGCATCTGTCCCCTTGTGCTCACCTGGGCTGGCTTTGCAGTGGCTTTGTCCCTCCACCCAAGGCCAGGTAACCTCCTCTGGTTGTAGGTCTTAATTTCTTTCAGCTAGGCCTGGTGCCTCCCATCACTTGTTCCTTCACCCTAGCTCCAGCTCTACAAATAACCATTCTTTAAACCTTCCTCATTTGGCCTGTTTGAATGTGTCCCATGTCCTGCAGGGACCTGAGAGATGCAGCTGGTGCCAGAAGTGGGAGAGCTGTTGCTGAACCCAGAGAGGGGTGTGCATGGGATCACTAGGGCTGTGGCGGGGCTGGCTGGCTGTGTAACCCATGTGGGAGGAGGAGGCAGTTCTCTGCAGGGGCTCTGTATTCTCTGTATTTTTGGAACTGAATTGAAGTTGCTACTTTTTTGTTTTAAGGTTCATTGAGCCATTCTGTTCAGTATCTCAAAACGATTTGCCTAAACACTTGTGGGATCTCCTGGGTTCTTTCTCCCTCCCCCAAGAGAGGGAGCACAGTTCCAATTCAGCTGTTGCTCAGTCCTGGGTTCTTTTTGTGAGTGTGTGGTACTGGGATTTGAACTCAGGGCTTCACACTTGCTAGGCAGGCGCTCTACCACTTGAGCCATTCCACTAACTCTTTTTGTGTCATTTTGGAAACAGGTCATGAAACTGTCAGCTTTCTCATTCCTGTGCCCAAAAGGGAGGCTTCCTTTTCAGGTCCCCAACTGAAGTGTGCTGATCAGTGAGGTGTACACGGTGTTGTCACTGTTCTCATTGCTTCTCCAGGCTCCCGAGTGGGCCTCACCTGGGGAAGAAACACTCTCTGCTTGCTCAGCTGCTGGGGGGAGGGAACAATGGCGTTGGGTTTTTCTCCTGCCTTGTAATTAGGTTTGTCTCCTGTTCTTCTTCACCAGGATCACCCGGAGCATGGGGTCCTGTTTCTTGTCCGAGAGCTTCTCAATGTGATCCAGGACTACACCTGGGAGGACAACAGTGACGACAGAATCCGCATCTACACCTGCGTCCTCCATCTGCTGTCTGCCATGAGCCAGGAGACTTATCTGTACCACATAGACAAAGGTAGCACAGGCCTCCCGCCCACCTGCACACTCCTGGCTTCTATTTAGAGGTGTTGCCTTGAGCAGTGACAGTGATCTTTGGGGCTCACTGGGTGCCTTCTGCTGCCCGTCTGCTGAAAGTCCCACGACCCCCGTGGCCCTTAGTTCAGGTGCTGCGGAGGAAGCAGGTGGCTGTGAAACCTACCTGCTCCTGGCCATTTTGAACTTGCCGGTACAAGACATGGCACTTGCATGTCCTGGACACAACATGAGACCGTCCCTGTGCCAGGCCCCCCCGCTCCAAGCCTCACAGTCCTGCTTGGCAGACCCTCAGTTCCAAGTTTTGATTTCCAGGAAATGCCCGTATTAGTAAAAGTGCTTTGGCGGGTAATCGTAGACCCTAGGATTTAAAGTGTCTATACCAGGAAACTGCAGTGGGTAGGTTTGGGGTGCTGGCACAGGGCCTTGTCATGACCTCAGACACTTTGCCAGGGTGGTGATGCAGATTAGGGAGGCCAGGTAACATCAGGAAGGGTGGCCATGTGCAGAGCCCCTCCTGCCTGCGGCACCACCAGACACCACGAGCCACTTCTTCCTGAGCTGTCTCAGCACTGCTGTGCAGACAGCATTCGTGTCCCCATTTTATATACAAATAGGGCAGCCCAGAAAGACAGCGTGAGTTACTCAAGGGCTCCCAGCTAGTTAGTGATGGAGGTGGAATTCACACTCAGGCCCGGGGACGCACGTTACGCTGCTTGCTTGCTTCTCCATGACAGTGAACGCATAACGTGACACACATCCAGTGAGCAGTGATGCCAGTTACTTCTGCACAGTGAGCACAGCCAGGGAATCCCTCCCACTGAGGAAACAGAACACAAGAGGTGGCTCATAACCGTCAGCCCCACAGACCTGTGCCCCACTGCAGCACCTCCATGCTCCTGAGAAGCCACTTTATAAGTGACTTTGTTTGTCTGGTATGTGTAAAAGGATTAGTTAGCAAACATGCTTGGGTGTCTGGTGTCTTGCGCTCAGTATCGTTAAGATTCATGTATGTGTAGCTGGAGCCCATCCCTTTGCATGACTGCATAGTACTCCATCAGATGAACACCACTTGCGGGTGGGTGTTTGCACATTTACAGTTCCAGTGTGGGGCTATTCTGAGTAGTGCTACTGTGAACATCCTTGCTTATATGTATTGAATTCCTTTTCTCTTGGGTGTATGCCTAGAGTGGAAGTGCTGGCAAGTGAGATTTTTTTGCATTCAGCTTTGGGGGATACCACCCCACAGCTTTCCAAAATGGTTATATAGATTGATGTTCTCACCGGGAATAAGTGAAGGTTCTGTTCTGCTTAAATGGGAGTTGCCTTTTCCTGGATTCCTGTAGTCCACTGTACTCTCTCCTCTCTCCCCTTCCCCCAGCAGAGGCAGGGGTCCTCTCAGAACAAGACTGAAGGGTCCACAGCTGGATACAGGTTGGCAGAGGGAGCAAGGCTGTGTTTGATAGGCAGGTGTTAGCTTTCTAGCTTGCTTTATTTATTTACTTTCATGTTTTACGTTTGATTATTTTTTCCCTGTATTATTGTGCTGGGTGGGAGTACACTGTGACATTTACAAAGGTTCTGTCAATGTATCAACTATATCACACTTGAATTCTCCCCTGCACTGCTCCCTTTATTCCCCTCTCCCTTGATTCCTGGAACAGTTTCAACAGGCATCATTTTTGCATTTACATGCATGTGTACACATTTTTTTGCACCGTATTCTCCCTCCTACCCCCTTTCCCCACATCCTCCCCGCAACACTGGTGCCAACCTCTACCTGCCCCCCCAACCCTGGCAGGACCTGTTCCACCCTCCTGTTCTCCAATTTTGCAGAATATAACAAAGAAAAGATAAAAAGGAAAACACAATATTCTTGCTTGTTGGAGATAAAGATAGCTACACAGGGAGCTTCCTTGTGATATTTCCATGCACAGATGTGTTACACTCCAATTGGTTCAGCTCTCTAATTTTCTTCGTTCTGCCTTAGTCCCTTTCTTATGGCGGTTTCAGCTGGTTTAAGATCTCTGTATTCATTTTTGTATAGACAGCATATCAACCATGTTCAAGTTCTTACTTTCCTTCTTTTACCCTCCCCATTCTGTGCGTGACCTCCCCTTAGTGTGACCAGTGTCCCATATAATTATTGCACTTGCCCTAGATCTAAAGTTCGCATATGAGGGAGAACATGTGATTTTTGGCCTTCTGAGCCTGGCTGACCTCGCTTAAGATGATGTTCTCCAGTTCCATCCATTTACTTCTGAATGATAACATTTCATTCTTCTTCATGGCTGCATAAAATTCCATTGTGTATAGATACCACATTTTCTTGAACCATTCGTCAGTGGTGGGGCATCTTGGCTGTTTCCATAACTTGGCTATTGTGAATAGTGCCGCAATAAACATGGGTGTGCAGGTGCCTCTGGAGTAACCTGTGTCACATTCTTTAGGGTATATCCCCAAGAGTGGTATTGCTGGATCATATGGTAGATCAATGTCTAGCTTTTTAAGTAGCCTCCACACTTTTTTCCAGAGTGGTTGTACTAGTTTACATTCCCACCAACAGTGTATGAGGGTTCCTTCCCCACCCCACCCCCATCCTCGCAGACACCTGTTGTTTGTGTCCTAAGTGGTAGCTATTTTAATAAGAATGAGGTGGAATCTGAATGTGATTTGCATTTCCTTTATGGCCAGGGATGGTGAATATTTCTTCAGGTGTTTTTTGGTCATTTGGACTTCTTTGAAAAAGTTCTGTTTAGTTCAGTTGCCCATTTCTTCACTAGTTCATTGATTTTGGGAGTTTAGTTTTTTGAGCTCCCTGTATATTCTGGTTATCAGTCCTTTGATGTGTAGCTGGCAAACATTTTCTCCCATTCTGGATGGCCTCTTCAGTTTAGAGACCATTTCTTTTGTTGTGCAGAAGCTTTTTAATTTCATGTAGTCCCATTTGTCAACCCTTTCCCTTAGATGCTGAGCCAAATGAGTTCTGAGGATGTCATTGCCTTGGGATGGATTTGAACTCAGGGCCTTAGACTTGCTGAGGCAGCGCTCTGCCACTTGAGCCACACCCCAGCTAGTTTTCCAGCTTTTAAAGACGCATCCAGAAGAATGGGTTTCTTCTCCTCCTTAGCCCAGCTGTGCTGATCTGGTGTTGACTGCAGTGACCTCCGAGTTTCTTAGTGGTTGAGAGGGGAGGGAGGCGAGACCAGCTCTGTGGGGTTGGGGCTGCATTCTCCCTGCTCCCTTTCCTTGTGGGTTCAGCAGTGACTCGGCTTGGAACTTGTGCAGAGCAGGTGCTAGATGATGTCACAGATCTGCCCGTGGGATTCAGTGGCCACGGTGATCTCAGGCCTGAGGTGCTTTGACTGCCTTGAGTTCTGACACTCCCTGGGGCCAGAGCTTGGGAAAGCACGTGTGTGGTGGACAGGTCAGTGTGCTCCTGGTTTATTTACTCATTGTGCAGGTAGAGTTCATCTTTGTTGGATGAACACAACCCAGATGCTCCCGGGAAGCCGGTAGCCCGCTTCACCCTCCCATGCCACCTGCCAGGCCCCTGAAGCATTCGGGTTTGTGGCCCCAGGGTCAGACACACAGAGAATGATGGTTTATGCTTGGTGACCATTCGCCATTGTTTCTCCTCCTCTGGAGGACCGTGTCTGCGCTCTCAGGACACCCTGCACTCTGGCATGTCCAGATTACTTGTTCTCAAATTTACCCCCACTATGACTACTAGATGTTAGCATGGAGCCCCCATCAGCCCCTCCCGTTTTCTACTTCTCTGGTGAACCCCCTCTCACCGATTCCAGCATTCCGGCTGAAGCCTGGATTGTAGGATCCCCTGACGCCTGCCCCTCAGCACTCCCTGTCACCATGTCCTGTTCGCTTGTCTGTAAGGACGGGGCCAGGTCCACCTTGTCCCCCACTTTAGGGGCGGGGTGGTTCCTCAGCACCTAGGTCAAAGCCTGCTCAGTAGGTGCTGTGTGTACACGTGTGCAGGTGCATGCATGTGTGTGCCAGCTACCTGCCCTGAACGCACCTGTGGCCCCTCCCACTTCTCCAGTGCTGGGCCAATCAGAGCAAGAGACTCAAACCCAGAGGAGGACCAGGAATTCTTACCGAGAGCCGCCATGCCTGCAGGTTTGCACCACACAAAATTAGGCGGTACAAAATTCTCCTAACCAGGATGACTGCTGTGCTCCACGCTGAACACAGCAGCTGCAAGTCAGAGCCAGAGCCAGCTCACAAATCTCTACCTGCCCTGCAGCCCAGAGCTGCTCACTACCAAGCTGGACTCAGGGGAGCACTTGTCTCCTGAAGTCTCCTTACACAGGCAGGTCAGGCTCAGACTGGAAATGACCAGTGGGCAGACAAGCTGGGAAACTGGAAAACCAGTTGTTTTCCCTATTCCTAGGCAATATGACAGCAACCTGCTTTCAGATGGTGCAGGAAGAACAGATGCATGTATGGTAGGCAAGGCGCAGCAGGACTGGTGAGAAGTAAGTGTTGTTCACTGTAGTGTTGTTTTCTGCAGCCTTGACATTTTTCCAAACTAAAAGCTGGAGAAGAAAACGAAGATCTATTATTCCTGAACAATCAGCTAAATCAGTTAGTTAATTATGCTTACAATGCCCAAGATTCAAAGCAGATTGCAGGAAAACAATAAAATAAATATAATTTTAATGTAAAAATATTTCTTCGGAAATTATAAATTAGGATATCCATATAGATACACATCTGTGCTATGGGTGGGGAGGACTCTGCATGCTGTTTTATCACATTTTACAAAATAGTGTATTGTAACTATCTGTACTGGCAATTCTGTATTAATACTTTCATGGTTAATAGCATAACCATATATCATATACTGTTCCTCTTTTTGTAGTCCTGGGTTTTGAACTCAGGGCCTTGCACTAGGCAAGTGTTCTACCACTCGAGCCACTCCACCAGCCCTGTGCACTTTATTTAATCCCATGCCACAGAGCATGTAGTCCAGACTCTATTTCTGGACTTCTGTGCTGCTTCTCCTCTCATTCTCCTGAACACAGGCAGTGACTGTCACATAATAGTGTCCTTGAGTGACCACTGTGTCATTTTCTTAAGATAAGTCTCTTGAAGTGATTTTTCCATGTCAAGAGAGTCAGACTTTCTTTGTTCTACAGGGGGTTTTTAGTATGATCTATATAGCATAAAATTTACCATTAAGTACATGATTCCACCACACCAATTTTGAGACAGAGTCTCCCTGTGGCCAGGCTGGCCTTGATCTTGGGATCCTCATGCCTTGATCACTGTGTCTCATGCCACCATGCCTGGCTTTCATTTCTTTTTAAAGCCGAGTGCTATTCCACTGTTCGGATATACCACAATTTGTTTATCCTTTCATTTGCTGACAGTTTTCAAATCGTTTCCACCTCTGGGTTGTGAATAGGCTGCTGTGAACACTGGTGTGCGTGTGTGTGTGTGAGGCCCTGCTTTCCATCCCTTTGGGCGTGTGCCTGCGGTCAGAGCTGCTGGATCAGGTGGTGATCCGTGTGTCACTTTCTGACACACATTGTGTTACATTATTACCAGCAATGCACAAGAACTCCGCCTTCTTCACATGCTCACCAGCATTTCTTTTCTGTTTTTGTTGTTTTAATTACAGCTCTCCTAGTGGGCGTGACGTGGTATTGACATTCTTTTTTTTGTTTGTTTGTTTTGGTGCACCGGTCCTGGAGGTACTGCAATACCAGGCCGATGCATAGAGTGGACAGAGCAAGCTCCTATTCCATCTCCTAGTCCCAAAAATCCATTTAATATATTGTCCTCAGATAGAGGACATATCAGACATTAAACTGATAAGAACAGATGCTACACTTGATCTTCACCAAAAGGCCGAGAAGCGATGGTATTGACATTCTTAAGCCTGTTTCCACATGACTGTACTCCCTCCAGCAGTGTTCCCAGAACCTGTGTCAAATTGAGTTTCTCCTTGGTTTTAGTTTCTAAATGATGTTCACAGCATGTCTTTCACATGTTTGTTTTGAGGACTCTACAGTAACACGAGGCAAGTGCTCAGCCCAGTCCCCAGCAACTCTGATTACTGCCGTCCCATGGGCCAGCAGAGGGACGACTTCCACACCACTGGCCTCTGGCTCAGACCATCCTGCAGGCCAAATGTTTTGTGATTCCCAAAGCTGTTCCCATTGCCCTGCTGTGACTTCCTGCCACCTTCTGACCCTGTGTGACACACAGCCTTCTCTTGGCTAGCATGGGCACAGATGGGATCTGTCTCACTGCTCTCTTTTTCCATCTAGTCGACTCCAACGACAGCCTCTACGGAGGAGACTCCAAGTTCCTGGCTGAGAACAACAGGCTGTGTGAGGCGGTGATGGCGCAGATCCTGGGACACCTGAAGACCCTGGGCAAGGACGAGGTGGGTGCTGCCTGCCCCTGCCTGCCGTTGCTCTGGAATCTCGAGTTTCCAGGGAGGTTGGGCACTGTCCATTGTGGAAGGGAAACAATTCCCCATGAGGCTCATGAGTTTGAGGCTAGCCTGGCCTCACAGTGAAACTGCCTCAGAAAAAAGGAAGTCAGAGAGGCCCTCTGATGCCTATCTCAAGTGGCCATTCTCTCCAGTCCCTCTTTTGAGTTGTGCCTATAGCACTTGGCGGCTGTCTGTAGTGCTCTGTGTGTCTGTCCGCTTACCACATTCTCACTCCCAACTTGAGCAGGGACAGGCTGAGTCTCTGGTCACTCACCGTGTCACCCTCACACATAGCACAGCATCCAGCAGATGCTGGAGGAAGACACAGTGAATAAACAGGTGTCCATGGTCCCCATGGGAGGCAGGCAGCTTGTTCATTCTCATTGGCAACAAAGGAAATTGAGGCACAGGGAAGTCTGACCAGAGCTTCCTCTAGGACAGCAGAAATGCCACTTTTTTTTCCCTTTGATTTTTTTTTGACAGAACTGGGGATTGAACTCAGGGTCTTGAGCTTGCAAGGCAAGTGCTCCCACACTTGAGCCATTCCCCAGTCCTGTTGCTTTACATTGCTTTCCATATAGGGTCTCGTGCTTTTGACTTAGCTGGCCTTGGACCATGATTCTCCTATTTCTGCCTTCTATGTAGCTGGAATTAAAGGCATGTACCACCACACCTGACTTCTTAGCTACACACTGCCCTCTTCAGTGAAGGCCTTTCTTTCCACTGATCCTTTAAGAAGTGGCATGTGTGTCTTCCAACCATAGTGGGGTCTGGTTCCTAGCCTTTGTCCATCAAATGTGGGATCCAGAGCCCCTTCACACGTACAGATGAGCAAAGGGAGTAAGTCATCCTGAATGTGTCCATGGGACACACATTGGGCTGTTTTCCACAACCCATGCTCCTGTGTACAAAGTGGGGTTTATCATCGACTTGTGTCCAGGCCGCACGAGGCAGAGTTGGGGTTCAGCTCAGTTTCCATACACTTCATTAACCCTTGGCTTCTCTTCCCAACTTTGCTGACTGTGGCTTCTGTTTCTGTAGTGGGCCCAAATGTGTAAGTGACACATAGACCCCAGCCTGTGTCCCAGACTGGATGAGACAGTGGTTAATCCTGCAGACACTGGGGGATCTGTGTCATTGTAGACAAGGTTGACTCAAGGACGCACAGCAGAGGTGGACAGCAGCATAGCATTCACACTGCTGCCTGTCGTGTCTCTGTGCCCTTCCTGGGTACTCCTCCTCCTCCTCTCTCTCTTTTTTTTTTTTTTAAGCAGCACTGAGGTTTGGACTCAGGTCTTCACACTTGCAAGGCAAGCACTCTACTGCTTGAGCTGCGCCGCCAGCCCTTGTTTGCTCTGGTTATTTTGAAAGAGGATCTCACTTTTGCCCAGGCCAGCCTGGAAAATACTGTTTTATTGCTGTAGCTGGGATAGAAGGGAAGCACCACCATGCCCAGCCTTTTCTTTTGAGATGGGGTTTCTCAAACTTTTTTTTCCCAGGCTGGCCTGAAACCACAATCCTCCTCCCGCTCTTAGCCTCTCAAGTAGCTAGGATTACAGCATGAGCTGCTGTGCCCGATTTAGGTCTTACTCTTTATCTGGTCTGAGTTGTTTGCTTAAAAGTTTGAGCATTTCAAGTTTTCATTCTTACCTAGCATGAGACTGAGATGGGAGCTGACAACTTACTGCTGGGCTCATCCTGGCAGGAATGCCATTTTCTGTCATTACCCCACACCCCCATCCTTTTTTGTAAACCTGAGGGAATTTTGATTTCCTGGTTCCTGGCAGCTGTCCCACCTTCCAACACTCTTGACCTCTTCTCTTTCCTACCCCCTCCCTCCATCTCCCTGGATTCTGTACTAGTCTTGGGTTTTGCTCCCCCACGCCCATCCTTTTCATGCTATCCATACTCTGAAGAAAGAGTAAGATCAAGAGATCTAGAAGGATGCTAATCGTTGTCATTTACAGGACTGTATAGAACACTGTCCTTTCCCATCCCACCAGGACACCACAGACACCATGTAGCTATAAATACATACACGTAGGGATCTCTCAGTAAGCCCTGTGGATACCAAAATCTGAGTGCTCAAGCCCTTGTATAAAATGCAGTGTTTGCAAATAAAGTATGCACCTCTCCCATGTCCTTCACATCACTCTAGATGACGTACGATGTGTAATCCAGTATAAATGCTGTGTACAGAGCACGTACACACCCAGCTTTGCATTTGCACTTGGTTGAATCCATGGATGTGGAACGCATGGGTGTGGCAGGCTGACTGTCCATACGTGGGTGTCCGGTTCCCTCTCCAAGGTACTCAGGCAGTTGCTGGAGAGTGGGATTTTTCTGGGCTCTGCCAAGTTCAGGAGTGTTGCCTGAAGGACAACATCCAGGGCAGAGGCCCCGATGGCCACAGAAACTAAGAGCCACTGCTCTGGGGTCCAGGTCTGCACCCTGCCCGCCTCCAGTGGGGCCCAAAACCCCTGGTAAGTTCAGCAAGGGCAGGCACTTGTCTGTCATGGAATAGCATAGAACCCACAGGAAAACTGGTCTGTCAAAGCAGAGGATCTCAGGGCCCCGTTCTAGTGAGCACTACAAGCTCTCCTAGCTGTGGGACAAGGGCCCTGTATCCCTTCAGTCCATCCCTACCAAGATGGCTTTCAGAGAGGAGCCCTCTGCATCCTGCCCGTCACCCTCAGTCTGCACTTTTGTACTAATTGACCATAAAATTCTTCTCTCCCTTCCCCTCATTTCTTAACCCCATGGCTCTGCCTCTGTCTTCTGGACCAGGCACCTCTCAGCAGTGACACATTTGACAAGTTACACCCATGAAACGTTTGCCACAGGGTTTGAGGGTATGCATTTCTTCCCCCTGGGTTTGATCACAGGTGGTTGCTGACAGCACAAACGACCATGGCCTAGACCCCCCAGCTCACAGTAACAGAAAGGCCAGAGCTGCACCCCTTGTCACTGTTGTTATTCAACTCGCACCTGTCTTGTCCTCTGTGGAGGGGAAAGGTGACTCTGGGACTGTTCTGAACGCAGAGCATTTCATCTCCCGTAAAAGCCACGGAGTAGCACTGGGCACATGGCCACCTATGCACACGTATCACAAAAATTCCGTGAGCTAAGCTGACATTGAACGCATTCTCTTTTGTACTCTTTCATACTGCCATGTCATTTGGTAGACAGCCTCAGTGGAGTCCTCCAGTTGGTGGCCGAAGACCGGGTCCACTGCAGCCTGGGAAAGCCGGTGGGATCCTGTCCGTGACAGCTTCCTGCTGTTGGGACCCCATTGCTGAAGCTATTCCTGCCTGTCCCACCTCTGTGAACTGACGAATCATCCTTTAAAGCCACAGGAAGGAGCAGGCCCTGCTTTGGCCATAAACCTCACAAACTTGGGCATGTTGAGCTGGGGACTGTGCTGAGCCCTGTCACTTCCTGGAAGTGGCCATTCTCAAGGGAAAAGAAGCAGTTTTCTGTTGGGTTTCAGTATCTGATCTGGCTTTCCTGTGACATGGTCCTGTTTTTCTTTGACTATCTGTGGCATGCCTTAGCATCCCTCAGACATGTATCTGCCGATGTCGTTTTGAATGACTGCGCCACTGAAAACACAACTCGAGTTTTTTAGGGTAAAATGCCTGAAGAGAAGTTCTTTGACAAAGAACTTTAGATACTGTGTTCCTTGCTTGATTTTCTCTCTCCCTCACTGCAGTGTGATGTGCTCCCCAGGCCTTGCCCAGGGGACAGTTAGTGAGATTTGAAGTTGAATTTTCTTTTAGCTTAGTCCTCAGGAGCGGAGCAGAAAGCAGGTGTCCTCTTGCCCCAGGTGTCTGAGGGAAGCAGAACAGCCTCAGAGATCCACAGGGCCAGAACTGCATGGTCTAATGAGCCCCACAAAGCCAAAGCAGGCCGGGCCAGCCGGTGAACAAATCCCTGCTAGCCTGGGCACCCACAGCACAGCCTGCCCCTCCATGAGGCTGCTTCCCGATCATGGTGCCGCTGTGGATTTGTGGCACGGTTTGGGCTGTGGGCATGTGCAGCCTAGGCTGAAGTCCCACTCTGGGTCCTGGAGCAAGTTCAGGTACCTCATCTGCACATTAGCTGTGCCCATTCCATTGCTGTGTAACCAGCACCACAGTTTAGCAGCTTAAAACGATGCCTGTGGGCTCCGAGTGGTTCAAGTAGTAGGGTGCCTGCCTACCAAGCATGAGGCCCTGAGTTCAAACTCCAATACCACAACAAAGAAAAAGTGCCCATTGGAGGCTATTTGGCAGATTAGGAGTCAGCACTAGCGGGCTGGCATCTCTGTTGCAGGTTTCCACAAGGCCGAAGTTGAGGTGTGGACTGGCTGGGCTCTTAGGAATCACTGGGAAGACCCCACTTCTGTGCATTTAGAGGTCTGTTTCCTTGCTGGTGGCTGCTCTGGGGCTCCCTCTGTCCATCTTTGTGCTTTGACTCTCTGACCTCCCTCCGCCTTGCTTTTTCCACCTTGTCTCTGCCTCTGGCCTGAGAGTTTTCAGCTTTTAAGGGCTGCAGTCATTAGACTGGGCCCAGATAGTCCTATCCCGTCCTCACCCCACTCCCCTGCCTAACTGTGCCTGCAGGGTCCCTCCGTGCTATCCCCTGCGTTAATGTGAGTGACCAGGGAGACAGCCTGAGAAGCTGCCCACTGAGGGGTTATAAATGTACCTGCCAGAGTCAAGAGTGTTAAATCAGACGACGGTACCCATTAGTGCCTGGGTGCAGTGTGGATGTGTGGTGGGGTAGCCAGGCCTAGCCAACAAGGGTCTGGGACCTTGGCTTACCGGTGGCCAGCATGTGAGCTCATCTGTCCCTGGATTCCTGAAACAGCAGATGCCACCTTTTGGCCTGGCCTTCTCTGGTGACTGTTCACCCTTGGGGAATTAGTTGTATCTTCTCCTGCCCTGTCACTTAATTTTTGAGACCGATTTCTACTCTGACATGAGGTGGGGCATCTCTGCTGTTGGGTGCAGTGTGGCTCTTGTGAGAGCTGGGTACAGGCAGCCAGTGTCGGGAGCAGCTGAGGAGCAGGCGGTTGGTCTTTGCTGATCTTTCCTTTCAGTGGCAAGGGACAGGAGCAGTGATGGCAGCTTTGTGGGCTTGAGGACACACCTGACAGACATGGTAGTACTGGGGATTGAACTCAGGCCCTCTGGATCACTAAGCAAGGCCTCTGCCACTTGTGCCACGAGCCAGTCCTTTTTTCTAGGTAGAGTCCCTCTTTTTTGTCCCTGGCTGGCATCAGACCACTATCCTCCTACCTATGCCTCCTGTGTAAGTGAGACCACAGATGTCCACTACACCAGCTTATATGTTGAGATGGGGAGTCTCTAGAAGTTTCTGCCCAGGATGGCCTTAAACCATGACCTTCCCAATCTCCACCTCCCAAGTAACTGGGATTACAGGAGTGGGTCACTGTGCCTGGTCACTGTGTGTTTTGGCTTTGAACTGTACCTAAAGTAAGGAGGTTTTCCCCACCAGCTTTCATTCTGACCCAGTGACTTGAGTCTCTTCCACTTCATGGGTGATGAGCTGAGTACTTGGTGTGTGTCATCTCAGCTGGTCCTCGCTCACCCTGTGAGGCAGACTTTACAATCATCTTACAGATGAAGCCCACAGGGCTTGGTAGGTAAGCAGTGAGCTCATAGCAGGGTTGACACTGCTCCCAGTCCCAGCCCATCCTCACCCCATCCTCACCCCATCCTCGCCCCTTCCCTCTCTCCCAGGCCCTGAAGCGGCAGAGCACATTGGGCCTCTCCTTCTTCAACAGCATCTTGGCCCACGGAGACCTGCGCAACAACAAGCTGAACCAACTGTCTGTCAACCTGTGGCACCTGGCGCAGAGGCATGGCTGTGCAGACACCAGGACCATGGTGAGGCCGGGGCCCCGCCACACCCGCTATCACCAAACAGACTGGGCTGGCAGCAGACTGCCCTGCTTGCGCCTTCCACACAGGCGCCAGGCCCTGCTGAAGAGCACGGCTCTGAACGAAAACCACACACACAAAACTTCACTCCTTCCTGAGCACACCAGGCCTGACTTTAGGGAAAGTGACCATCTAAGTTTTCAAGACTGACTTCTTCCCTGCCATCGTCAGTCAGGATGGCCTCTTCTCTGAGAGGAACTCACATGACGGCTGACTCACTGGCGTTGGGCTCCTAGGGCGGGGTTATGAGCCAGGTATGAGGTGGATCTTTCTTTTTCATCCTAGGTAAAAACTCTGGAATACATCAAGAAGCGAAGCAAACAACCAGACATGACTCACCTGACGGAGCTGGCACTGAGACTCCCCCTGCAAACAAGGACCTGAGCCCCGCTCCAACAGATGTCCAAAGTTGGGCCGGCTCTGCTGTCCTGAGCCCCCATTGGAATTTAGGTTTTTGATTTTATTTTTACATATACACAGATGCATGGTTTAAACTTTGGCCTTTGCCCAGGGTATTCTGGCAGCAAAGGGGAACTGTCAGAGTATTAAAAGCAAGTGTTGTTCTACGAGAGCAGCATCTCAGTGTTTCCTTGCAGAAGGGGTCTTAGGGCTCTCAGGAAGGCCCAGGGAAGGTTGGGTGGGCTTTAGCCAGGGAGTAACAACAAAACGCAAATAACTTTCTTTTTTGCAAAAGGTTGCTTTTCTTACGGTTTGGAAAAAGAATTTTGAAAAGCAGTCCACTGTTGCAGATGCTGTAAGTTAGGGAGAACACCCATGGAAGACTTAGAAAGGCAACTCTACCACCCAGTTAGTATTGTTTCTTACCAAAAGCAGCACAGCTGCACTTACAATCTGCCGGTGGCCCAAAGGAGAAAGTGAGGTCCACTATGAGGCTGGCTGTGGCTTCAAAGCCTGCTGCCCCAAACACGTGGCCTGCAGGACCAGCTGTACCCAGCACTGATCACTGATCACTTCTGATTTCTCCAGAAAAAAGCGTGCACATCTGGCATCAGCCTGGTTTGCTTTGCAACTGCAATCCTCAGCAGTGCATTGCTCCGTCTACTTTCCTACTGCCAGTTGGCATCCAGTGACTTTATTTCAAATCAGTAAGAAGCATGGATAGTGATTGGTGATTCAAAATCTAGAACCCAGTCTGTAAAACTGCACCAGGTGTGGACCAAGTGCTCCAAACTAGCAGGACTACATGGGATACCGCATCATCCCAGCTACTCGGAAGGGAGGCTGAGGCAGGAGAATCACGAGCCTGGGAGCTTCGGGCCAGCCGGGCTACACAGCAAGACTGTATCTCAAAAAAAAAAAAAAAAAAGTGCCCCAGACTAGTTGCTTCTGGAAAATGAGCCCTGGACATGGATTACATTTCATCTTTACTCTGAGAAAGGATTAACACACAGCTAACCTCAGAAAGTAAGACACTAAAATTTTCTAAAAATAAATCTACAAACTCATGTTCTTACTCAATAGTTTAGGACCAAGTCTACCACTGTGATTTTGGGGCCAATTATGGCCTTCACAAAGACAGTAGATGCTAAAGAAAGAATCCCTCCCTTTCTCCCCTCTAATGAACAAAACACAGAAATGCAGAAGCGTCGTGGTGGCGTTCAGTACTCCCAGGTGGCCTTTATTCCATGAAGATTATTTGAAACCACTTTCACTATGTGCTAATAAAATGAAAAACTGGCATAGTCACAAGTCTTCTATTTTGAGGCTGTCGGGGTGGAGAGCATTTGTTCCTGAGCCCAGCCCAGTAAACTCCAACTTTCACATTAGTCAGGAACAGGCCACCCAAGGAACTTGGGACATGTCACCTGAGCCAGGGAGGCTTGGATCTGTGTGCTGTGTGTGCAGTTTTCCCCAGCCCACTACTAAATGAGGCTGCCTCTGCACAGTCTGATTAGGAAGGATAGAGCTTTTTAAAAAACCCAAGCAAGAATTTCAGGAAAGAAAATACTAATGAGGGAAACTTCTGCACTACCCCTGCATTCACTTTGATGGTACTTTAACCAATCACAAGAAGTGGCTTGAAACAAGACCATTTTATCATGTGACAGCCTCACTGGGCTACAATTAAGATGTCAGAAGAGCCTGCTCATCTTTGGAGGCCACAGTGGAAGGTCTTGGCTGTTTCAGCCCCTGCAGGCTACCACATTCCTTGGCTTGTATCCTTTCCCTTCAAGGGCTGGCCATCTTTGTTCAAGTCTTTTGAACACTGATTCTTCTGCCTTCATCCAGCTAAGGACCCTGTGAAGAGAGCCCATTCTGATCATTCAGGATGCCTTCCAACCCTCCCAACTTAAGCCAGGCCGATGAGCAGCCTTAATTCCCTTCTGTTTTGTAACCTAGCATACGGACAGAGCTGCTCTGCCAGCCACAAACACAAACGGTTTTAAGTCTACAGGGCTGAATACAACTATGCAGGAGAACTGTGACTCTCCAGCAGATGCTTTTCATGGGCCTGTGGGCTTGTGGAAATGTGGCCTCAGGGCAGGAATCACTTCAAGAATGAGGCAGCTGGAACTGTGGCTGGGGACAGCTGAAGGAAGGCTGTAAGAAGGGAAGGATCTGGTCATAGAAAAGAGGGTCAGCCAGTGAAAACAGAAACCCCCAAGGGAGAAACAGTCAAGTTCAACTAAGACCTCGGTCTTGCTGTGTACCAGACCTCCCACCCCATCCCACCTCCCCCAAAGTCCAGAGATAGGTGTGTTCTGCGTGGGGTGAAGACATGGACTACAGGGAAGTTAAGCAGAACACTGAGCCCATGGAAAGGAGGCCAAAGTAGCTCAAGCCAGATCCTGGCGAGCATTAGAAGCACAGAGACTAGGTATCCTGAGAACGGAGGTCCGTGAGAGGGATGAGTTCACCCTGAAGACAAGGCCTGCTGCCACCCTGGCTGCCCTACTTCCTCTGGTTACAGACTAAGACGTTCTCATGCACAAAGAAAAGCAAGAACCCAGCCAGGTGTGGTTGTGCACACCTGGAATCCCAACACTCAGAAGGCTGAGATTTACACATCACCAAACTTCTGCCCTCCTCCATCAGTCAATCCCCAGAGTATTCTCAGTGAAAGTCCCTAGAGGGGCATTCAGAGTAAGAGGTGATACAAAAGTACAACACACAGTGCTTACTGGTGGGTGGCCTGGGAAATTTTATTCCTTTACCCCAGAGCCTCAGCTGCCTCAAGTATTAGATGGGATGAGAATAGCACCTGTGCAGAAATGTGGTGAAACACATTAACCTGCACGCACCACACCCTCAACAAACATTAGCTACTGCTACTTACACGCCGATGTCACCAAACATGGATGGGAGGTTTCAGCAGAAAACAGGAAGCTTTATCCTCTTACATCCTCCTGACCCCCTTGGCCATGAGCCGCCCCCGCCCCAATTGTCCAATCCCAAAATGAGAGTTGTCCTGAACCTTCACAAGCGTTCGATTCGAGACAACTGCCAGATGGCCTTCTTCTGCAAAGCTGAGGAAGAGAGCCATTGTGGGGGTGTGGGGGACAAGACGCTAGTGTTTAATCTTCCAGCCTGATGGACCTGGAGGCATTCCTGTCGATGTAGAAGACTTTGTCCTGAGCTGCTGAGAAGCCCAAGCCAGCGCCTCGGCTGTACTTCCAGCTCATGGCCCGGTCGAAATCCTGCTGCAGGCTCCGCTGCAGGGTGTCCGCAGCCTTCTTACTCAGGGCCATGTTGGGCCTTCCAGTAGCACTGGGGGGGCGGCTGAACGAAGGAGACAAATGCTTAAAGCCACCCATGAGTTTGAGAAATTTTAGTTTCTGTTCCTCATTGTCAAAACCTGCCGTGTCCCACTGGCCAAACTGGGTTTCCTGCACAAAGAGGAAAATAAATGGTGATCATTTTCCTTGAACAAAGTTCTTCCCATCCCTCAACCTCAGGGATATCACTGCCACTGACCAAGAACTAGGAAGACTTGTCATCCTGATGAGGATGCAGAAATTTGCAGCTTTCCTGCGAGACTAACAAGGAGCTGATGGATTCCAACACAGCTCTGGCCAACAAGAGCCTACCAAGGGCCACCACTGTCCACTGAACACCTCAGCTCGTAATGCAGCACAATGATCTAACACAGCTCAGTCAGTTTTCTTGTCACTATGAACAAATACCTAACTGAAACAACTTACTTTGTTCATTGTTCCAGAGGTGCCAGTCCATCATGGTGGGGAATAGTGTGGTGGGCAAAGAAACTTGCCTCATGGCAGTCAAGAGGCAAAGAAAAGGGTATACAGGAAGAGGCCTGGATGAGTCAAAGCCCCCAAGGACATGCCCCTAGTGACTGACTTCTTCCAACTAGGCCCCTCTCCTACCTTTCACCACTACCGACAGTGCTACCTTATCATGAATGTATCAAGGGGTTAACCTATCGAGCCCTCAGACACAGGGATTCACTAATCTGCTACGCGTCTCTCCAGTCGAGATTAACCATCACAACAGCACACCTCACTGTTTCCCACTGCTGAGGCATGCTGCACAAGTGCTCCACCACTGAGCTCCATCCCCAGTCCCAGCCTTCTTCAGAGCCCCCAGAGGACTTTGACTAGGCTTCCCTCACCTCTCAGCCTGCAACACACCTCCCCAACCTCCTAACACCTGTCCATGGCAGGACTCACCTTCCACACACAGCAAACTCACTGGAGACACCGGGCACCTCACCACACAGAACACTTGCTAGCTAGCTGCTCACCCATCAGCATGTTTCCTTCAGCTGGAGGGCCAAGGGGGCAAGTGGGAAGGAGAAGCTGAGCCAGCCCAGCACCAGGGCCCCAATTCCAGCCAGAGTGCCCTACTACCAATGCACAAATCCCCACATGTGAGAAAACGTGACTCCCTCAAGACCCACCCCTCTCCTCTCTCTATATGAGAGGCAAGACAGCTAGGTCTCCAAGAACACTGGATGATTCTCAAGTCACACTGCCTCAAGATGAGTCCACCTATGTGACTTGGCTGAAGTCAGTCGACTCCTCTGAGCCTAAAATCCTCATCTTCCAGATGAGGGGGTGACAACCCCAACAGGGCTTCAGAGAGGCAGAATTCATCCAAAACTGCAGTGCATGATTCCCAGCACTTTTGAGGTCCTGGATAACTGGCTCTGCATTACCTGGGAATTTCTGCCTGCAGGCCAAGCTCGCATTTATTTCTAGATTGGCCTTAAGAGATCAGAATCAGTGTTGCTACCACTACTGTGATGAATCAGTGATCTCCCAGCTTTGTGGTGGTCATCATGCAGGGAACACTATGGCTTCCCTGGCCTGCACTTTCTAGAGCAGAGGTCACCTGTGACAGGCCTCACCTGAGTCCAAGGAGACCTCTGCAAGGACTGAGGGAATACCCACCATGTGCCTTAGTGGCCTGAGTCCTGGAGGTAGAGCAACCTGAAGCACTCGCAGCAGACCCTATCCCTGTGCCCCAGGATCACTGTCCTGCCATCAGGTCCCTCTGATCAGGGCCTGGGCTGCTGGTTCTCCATGGTACAGTCCTGTCTCTAGTCCTCCTCCCTTAACCCAGCTGTTCCATCAGCTCTGCTCAGCTCAGAAGGGTGGAGGGAAAGGAGACACCCAGAGGAAGCCACTTAACACACCCACTCCACACCCCACCGGCCGAGACAGGAGCCCATTTGACAGGTGTGGAAACTAAGACTTGGTAAGAAGGTTCTTGCCAAACACACCAGAAAGTGGCAGAGTCTGTCGTTGACCTTAGACCTAATTCCAGTCACTGTTTTTGTCTGTATCTGGGAAGGCGGAAGTCAGAACAGGAAGGCAGCCTCCCTATCTTTTGAATACTTCTTCCTCTCCCCACATCAACCTGGTACCAAGTCCCCAATCACGAAGCTGGTTTCTCTCTACCCTCTGGCCACCAAAGGCCTGGGGCCTGCAGGCTGAGCCTTCTCCCTGCTCTCCCGCACAGATGCCCTGCAGTGGCTCCTGAATCTATAACCCCTGTGTGAGCTCCCTGCTATGGGCCTAGCACAGCACTCACCTGTTCCTACCACTGTGTAGCTTGACTGGCCTTGACCAGGGACCACTCCCAGCCCTCTTCCACCTCTGGGCTCTGCCCTCGCTACTACCTGGCCTAGAACACTCTTTTCTTGTCTTCCCAGAACTAGAGCCTCCACACCCTAGGGTCTCTCCCTAAGTGTCACCTATGAGTGGCCTTGCTCACCCCAGTTAGTGCCCCACCCCTTCTCCTGCTCACTCTTCTTTCTCCTTAGCATGGATGTTCAGCCATCTGACAGGCTCTTCCTTTCCTGACTATCCATTTTCCCCCATATCCATCTGCTCCCTGAGACCACAGCTGTGAGTGTGATGATGAGAGGTCTGGAGCACCTCCGAGGCCTGTACCTGACACACAGTAGGAACTCAGTGACAGCATGAGTGACCAAAGGGTACAGAGTCAGTGACCTGTGGAGGCCTGGCTCCATGGCCAGGCCTCCTGTCTGTCTTACCTAGCCTGGGAGGGTAAGTTCCCATTCCTACCCCCATCCCCTCATCTCTGGTCCTCCCCACACCCCTCCTCATGCTGCAGGGGACAGACCCCAGTACATGGCCTCCAGACCATAGTGGCAAACTCACCATCCACTTCCGGGGTTCTGAAGTTTCTGTCTTGCCCGACTCCCGATCGATCTCTTCTTGCAATGCCTTTCGCCTCATCTGAGCATGGAGGATGAGGGGGAAATGAGACCTAGAAGTTTCCTTTCACCTTAAAACCCATGACAGCAGTGGGGCTGTGGGAATGAAGCGTGCTGGCGGGGGTGAGCTTCCCTCTGCCATGAGCCACAAAGAGTCCTCAGACTGGGGCTGCGGCTCAAGTGATAGAACACCTGCCCAGCAAGCACAAAGACCTAAGTTCAATCCCCAGTACTGCCAAAAAAAAAAAAAAAATCGTAATTTAAAAAAGTATGCTGGCTTAAAATGCACGGGCCCCATTTATCCTCTTGTGCACAGGGTTTCCTTTTTTCCTGAACTGGGGGTCTGGGGACTGAAGCCAAGGCTTTACACTTGCTAGACAAGTGCTCTACCACTTGAGCCAGGTCCCTAGCCCTTTTGTTTATATTTTGCTTTTGAAACAGGGTCTCACTAACTTTGCCCTTGAACTAGTTGACCTTGATCTTTGAATCCTCCTGCCTCTACCTACCATGTAACTGGGTATATCACCACGCCCAGGGGTGTACAGGAGTGTACCACATCTGGCTGTGCAGTTTCTTGAGAATGAGTTTTCCAAAAATGAAAGTATATCCAGTTTCGCCACTGTTACATTTTTTTATTGCAAAGCCAGCCATTTTGGGTAGAAACTTTGCCACTGTGCGGTGCCCAGGCCCTGACTTCCTATGCACACGACGCTGCAGTTAACTTCCACGCTGGTGGCATTTTTTCTACAGAACAGGCAGGCTGTGAAGACAGACGGAGGCTAACTTGAATCGCAGTACTGCAGTAACCAGCTGTGTGGCCGTGGGCAAGTCACTTAGCCTTTCTCTACTTTTCTACAACAGATGGAAATTTCAGCTGCCTTGGAGGTGAGCTATCTGTGTAAGAGAGCACTGGGCACACAGTAGGTAGGTCCCCATTCACGAGAGCTAGCATAGCTCAAGGCCACTGAAGCACCCCTGCTGTCCCACAGAAGCTTCCAGAGCCTCATCCTTCATCCCAGGGACTCAAGTGCATCTTTACTTTTCCAACTTATGACCCTTCCTTTCTTTTCTAACTTGTCAAGGGCTGCAAAATGACAGCTGAAAGGAGAGAGAGAACAGGAAGGAACATCCCTTCAGTAAAGTCATGCTAACACAGTGGGTTACTCAAACAGAAATCAGTTCGAACTAAAAGGAAGTTAAAGAGCAGTGTGTATGCTGGGTACAGTAGTGCATGTCTGTAATCCCAGCTACTTGGGAGGTGCAGATCAGGAGGATTCAGCCTGGGCAAAAAGTTCAGGAGGCCTTATTTCAAGTGCCTTCATCCCAGCTATGCAGGAAAACGCAAAGAGAAGGACTGAGGTCCAGGCCAGCCTGGGCATAAAGGCTCAAAACTATCCAAAACTAACCAAAGCAAAAACTAACCAAAGCAAAAAAGGCCCTGAGTTCAACCTCCAGCATGACCAAAAAACCAACCAAACAAGAAGTGTACACAGCATTACTTCAGTGTTTTTAACTTGCACATGTATAGGGCTGGGGGCATGGCTCAAGTGGTAGAGCACCGGCCTGTCAAGCATGAGGCCTTGAGTTCAAACCCCAGTATTGCCAGGAATAAAAAAAAAAAAAAAGAAAACCCTTACACCCACACATATCCCTATGGTTACCAGAGGAAAATCTGGAAGGACATATAAAGGACAAATGCTGCCTATCAGGGTGGCAGGGTTTCAGGCTCTTTCTTCCCAAGTACAGTCTCCTCCCCCTTTTTAAACATAATGGCTTTTGTGTTTTTCTGGGAAAAGAAGGATGATGTCATGTCACAAACATGTCTAGGAACTGGGCTCAACAGGCACAAATAACTACAAAGCAAGTAACGCAGTGTACAGACATGCACTGTGACTGATCCTGTCCCACTGTATCCTCAGGGGCTGAGGAGACCTGAAAGCAGCCGAGGGCTGGGGCTCATCCCTGCCCTCTGCACAGTGTCCTGTCCCGTCCCCAGCAGCTCCACCCTGGCAGTGCAGCAGGACCAGAGCCCTGTGTGGAGCCTGGGGGCTCAGGCCCTGCAGGGAGCTCTTGCACTGTCCCCCACTGATCCCTGGCTTCACCGTGGGGGCTGCTCCTCCAATAGTTACCTGGCTCCTCACATCAGAGATGTCCACATCTCTCTGGGTCGCCCTCTTCTGACTCGGCCCACTTGGAAATGCTCCATTTCCCTTTCTCCCCCCAGGGTGGAAAAGGGTCACAAGGCAGGACCCCTGTCCCCACCCTGCTGCATCTGAGGCACTGCCGATGAGGCAGGAGGATGGCTGCCATGTGCGAGACAGTGAGGCGGGTCCTGCCATCTACTTCAACCATCACCTCCCTTAGTGTCCATGCAGCCCTGGAAGACTGTGCTGTTGTGGTCCTGCCTCAGAGGGGGACATGGGGGCCAGCGAGCCAGTGCCTGCCCAGGGTCCCTGGTAAGTCATGCTGTACCACCAGGCCTCAGTCCTGGCCAAGCTTGGGGTCCAGGATCACAAAAGCACACCAGTTCCAGAAAGCCTAGGATGCACTTGCAGGAGGTCCAGAACCAAAGAAGCAGCAAAGCATGTCCACAAGAGAACACTTCAAACTAGCCCTGGAGGCAGTGACCACAGCCTGCCTGCCCTAGCTGCAGGGCTCCAGGACCTCCTGACCCCTGCAGTGGGATCAGTCTCTGCCCAGCAGCTTTAGAATCCCCTGGTGCCATGAAGACAAAAACCTCATGGCTTGACAGACGGTGAGTGTGCCTAGAGGCATCACAGGCAGGGAGGGTGGGGCAGGTGCCAGCTGTACCTGGTCAATGCAGGCCTCATCCGTGTTGCCCTTCTTTTCCAACACCACTTCCAAGTCTGTGTCTGATTCCTGCATGAGAGGGCAGAGATAGGTAAGGCTCAAGCACATGATGAGTGGTCTCTGCCCCAGTGGGCTAGGTCATGACAGAACATCAGGGCTTCTGGCTCATGACCTAATGGAGGCCTGTGACAGCCAGAGATGTTTCTTGTAATGGCTTTAGAGAGGCCATCCTTCTTCCTTTGGGGGGTTCCGATACACCAGGAAGAAAGCCTGGAGCTGATGGGACCATCTTGCCATGAGGCTGAGACAAGTCACCAGCCATCTTCTGCTATCCAAATGCATGAGGTCTCAATGTGGGGTACACTGAGCTCAGGCTGTGAGCAAAGGTAGCTACATATCATTTATTTCAAACCACTGGCTCCATTTGGAAAGAAAAAGTGGCAAGAGTTCCAAGAGCAAGAGATTCATCTGAAAAAATTCAACTCAACTTATTCAGAATCTGAGTGCAGATGGTGCCAACCTGGGTAGAGAGGCAACAGCAAGGGAAGCCAGTACTAATGGTAACAGTTCAGGAGCCCCTGAACCCAGCCATACCTGAAGCTGACTAACAGCCTTTCCAATGTAACAACACACTGCCTCCCCCATCCCCCTCTCCCTTTCTGGCAACTGGAAGCCTGTGCGCCCACTGCATCTGCAAATGCACATCCTCCCATCCCCCAGCCAGTTCCTCCAAAGAACCCATTACCGCCACCAAAAGGTCTTCTGCTGCTCCACACTCTTTCCTCTTCTTCTTTTTCTTCCTTTTCAGAGCTGGCTCCTCAGCAACGGGCAGCTCTACCTTTTTCTTGGACTTCATTTTCTTCCTCACTGGGACCTTAGGGCCGTCTCCTATCGGGATGTATTCTAGAACCTCGACTTTAACCGGCTTCTTTTTACTCTCTTTCCTTGGGCTGCTCTCCATGGACCTGGAGGGCTTGGAGTGGCCTATGATGGTGTCTTCCCCCTGGCGGACTTTTTTCTTCTTCTTCATCTTCATGCTGTGTTCTCTGGGGCTCCCCTGCTTCCGCTTCTGTCCCAAGGCCGCATGCTCGTCAGCCTCCTTCCCCACTGAGCAGGTGTATACAGAATCCCCAGCCTCATAGAGCCACGGATCCTGGATGGAGAAGTCTGTGGTGTCCTGGGCCTTTTTCTCCTTCTTGTGTTTTTTGAGCTTCTTGCCAACTCTTGTCACCTCCTCACTCTGTCTGCGGTCTGGGGAGGTCTTCCTCTTTGAGCAGTGGGAAGTGCTTGATAAGGACTTCCTCTTCTTTTTCTTCTCCCCAGTGAGGAACTCTGAATGGCTAAGGGTCTGCTTCCCAGGGTTGGATGACTTTGTCCGTCTGGCATGTGACAAAGTGGGCTCAGATTTTAGGAGCTCCTCACAATGGGTGCTGTGGCCCTTCTTTTTCTTCTTCTTTTTCTTCCCGAGAGGCATCTCGGAGGCCTGCCCCGGCCCACATTGTGAAAGGAGGACGTGGTCCTCTTAGGAGAAATATCAGCAAAGCAACTGTCATTATTTAAAACCGAGTACTGAGACTCTGGTTCCTTAGCAAGGACCTTCTTCTTCTTCTTCTTCTTCTTCTTTTTCTCTGGGAGCTCAAGGCCCAGGTCTACTCTGTGGGTCTTGGTGATCATTCCTGAGAAAAGCAATGGTACAAGTTATCACCATATCCAAACCTGTTTAATACGCAGCTCTGCACAGCCATGTTTCCGAGTGTTAGGGAATGGAGAAGAGGACTCCTCTGGAACACAGGGAGATCGGGTAAAGTACAGGAAGTTTAAATTCAAACAGCCCTAGGTTCTAATGTGAACGGCTCTTCCACTTTAAATCTGTTTCCTCCTCTGGAAAACTGGGGGGCCAGGGGAGAATAACACCTCCTCCCTCAAAGGGGTGTGGGAGGAAACAAATGAGACTATCCATGTAAAGTGCCCAGTTCCTGATGCTCCCTGGGTGGGCCACACAACATGGAAACCTTCAGGGAATCTAGAAATCAAACAGCCCTTTCAGGTGTGCAGATGGAGGAAAAGCAGGAGATTCTTGTCCTGCAGCCCTCCTTGGTCTCAGCACCCATGGGATCTTCACTGGACTCAGCTTACTCTTACCAGCTTCAAAGAGTCAGGCTAGGCCTAAACTATAGCTCAAGTCCATTTGAAACCCATTCCAAAATATCTAAACTCATCTCATCCCTGTCAGCTCTGTTTCCTAGTATATTCCCAGAGCTAGCTCAGTGCTTGGCACACAGCAGGTGCTCAATAAATACTCAAAGAGTGAATGCTAGAGATAAAGAAATGAGCAAGATCAAACACCAGCCATCAAAAAGCAGGCAGGTTTGGAAGAGAAAGGTCTAACAATGCTGGCGCAGGTGATGGGAAGAGTCAGCAAGGGAGTCCTGGGGAAGCCAGGGAGAAGGAGGTCTTGAACCTGGCCTGCCAGTAGTCAAGAAAGTTCCTCAAAAACAGAGCTTCCAGACATCCCACAGAATGGGAGAAAATCTTCGCCAACTACATCTGACAAGGGATTAATAGCCAAAGGATACAGGGAGCTCAAAAAACTAACTTTTCAAAGAACCAACAACCCAGTGAATAAATGGGCAAATGAACTGAACAGCCAGCCTGTTCTCAAAGGAAGAAGCGCAGATGGCCAAAAACACATGAAGGAATGCTCAGCATCCCAGCCATAAAGGAAACGCAAATCACACCACAGAGATTCCACCTGACCCCATTAATGACACAAATGCTGGCAAGGATGTGGGGAAAAGGAACACTTCTACACTGTTGATGGGAACGTAAATGAGTGCAACTGCTAGAAAGCAGTATGGCGGTCCCTCAAAAAACTCAAAGTAGGCCTACCAAACGATCCAGTGATACCACTCCTGGATGTGTATCTGAAAGAATACCAGGACAGGATATGGCTAGTGCACACCCATGTTTATTTCAGCACCATTTACCATAGCCAAGCTTTGGAAACAGCCCAGATGCCCCAGGACTAATGAATAGATCAAGAAAATGTGGTATTTATATTCATAATAGAGTTTTTTATTTTGGCTATAAAGAAGAATGAAATTATGTTGTTTGTGGGTAAATTGGATGGACCTGGCAAAGTAAGCCAGGCTCAAAAAGTTACATTTTCCCTCATATGTGGAAGCTAAAATATAAATTAAATGTATGTACAGAAACATATTATACACACACACACACACTATATATATATATATCACTATATATATATCACTATATATATATATATAGTGATATATATATATATATATATATATAGTGAGAAAAAAAATTGTATTAATGAGCCTGCCTGAGGGGGCTGTACAGTAAGCTGCTGACTGTCAGGGGAGCATGGTGACAGACAGTAAATGATGGGGGGAGGCGTAAATCTAATCAAAGCACAATATATACAGACCCGACAACCAAGGCGAACCCCACACTGAACTACTGATACACCCTTTAGAAAAATGAAGGGCAGGAGGAAAAAACAGATCTTTTCTAGGGGTGGAAACAAGTTGGAGGGGAGGGCGGGCGTAGGATGAATGAGGGTGAATAGGGCAGATGTATCTGTATATGAAAATAAAAGAATGAAACCTGCTGAAACTTATTCTAAGGGGGGATGAGGGCGAATGATGGACAGGGTAAATCCAACAAAGATATATTTTAAGCACATATTGTAAATATCACAATGTATCCCCCCGTACAACTATTACATGCTAATACGTTTTTCAAAAAGAGGAAAACAAACAAAAACAGAGCTTCCCAGCTCCCACAAGGGAAGGATGGTGGTGTCGATCCTGGAGGTGAAGTCAGGATGGCTGTGTGGCTGGAGGAAGTAAGGTGGCTTGGACAGAAGCCTTGCCACAGTCAAGTGGAGACGTTCACTGGGCAGGATGGGTGGGTCTGACACTCAGAACTGATTGCATGGACACTGCATAAAGACCATATGGATGGTAATTAAGCCTGGACAGAATTAACCTTTGACAAGACCCCAAGAAATAATGAGGCTTCAACAGGTGGACGGGGGGGGGGGGGGTGCAAACCTGAAGAGGGTGGAGTCAAGGACGCAAGCTCACTTCATGATGCGTGGAAGAGTGTTGACAATAAAGCTACATGTCAGCTTAGAGGGCTTCTCTCCCCACCTCTGCCACTCCGACCCCTTACCACCCTGCTCTTCAGCCTGTGACCCCAAAATGTATCCACTCTTATAGTGCGTCCCCTACAAAGGCAAATGCCGTCTTCAAAAGCACCTTATTTATTCACTTATTTATGAATGAGACAGGGTCCTTAGGTAGCCCAGGCTGGCCTGGATCTCGCGGTCTCCCTGCCTCAGTCTCCCAAGTGCTGGGATTACAGGCGTGCACCACCATGCCAGCGTCCAAAAGCGCTTTTACATTTCCGCGGTGGCCTATAGAAGACTGGCGTGACTATCCCGCCTCACAGGCTTTGGAGACTTCACATTGAGTTCTAAGTCTCAAAAGCCAACAAGTGAGAAACGGGGACTCGAATCCAGCCCGCAGGCCTTGGGAGCCTGTGCACCAACACCCCAGGGCCACCGCGCCACATCACGTCCGACTGAAGACGGGAGACCGCCCTGGAGGAGGGGGCTTCCGGCCGGAGCGGACACGCTCTGGCAATTAGGGGGCGGGTTTGGGGTTGCAGGACGCCTGTTTTTTAGCTCTTCTCTGCCGTGCAAATCCCCAGACACAATATTCGGCTCCCGCGGCGGCCTCCTACATGCTACCCTCCATACTCCTCCACTCACCTGCAGGCCAGCCCTCCCGGCCTCCGTGTGAGAGCACGCTCCGCCGCAACCCGGAAGTCAATCTCGACTCGCCGGCCCGCCCCCGGCAAGTCCGGCTCCTTCCGGGTCGCGGCCGTGCGGCGTACGCGGTTGTCGAGGAAACCGCGGCCATGGCGGCGCCGCGGCAGGTCTCCAGTCGAAGCGTTCCCCGGGAGGAACCCGTCGGCTCCGCAAACTCGTCGGTCACTAACCCGACGCCAGTGCCCACCGTGTCGCCTGTGTCCCTCGAGCGGCCTGTGTCGCCGGGGCAGGTCGCCGAGCCACCAGGCAAAACCCTGTGGGAGCAGATCTGCGAGGGTAGGCAGCCCGGCTGGCCGCGAGGGGCGGGACCTGGCGGGCGCCGGCCGGGGTCCCGGTCTCCCAGCGCCCACTGTTCGCCAGGCGGCTGACGTGGGGCCGCCGCGCCCCGCGGTTCACACGCGGGGAAACTGAGGGTCACTGGGGCGGACTTGGGCACCTTATTCATAATGTCCCGACCACCGAGCGTACAATGGAATCGGGGACTCTGCGCTTTGAATTAGCACCCCATGTGGTGGTCAGTGATCCACACGTTGAGTGCCTTAGTGTAAACGAACGGGGTTTTTTTTTGTTTGTTTGTTTGGTGGAGAAGTCTGGGGCTTGAACTCAGAACTTTGCAGAGCAGGCGCTCCATTGCCTCCAGTCCATTTTTATCTTTTTTTTTTTTTTTTTTTGCCCTTACTAGGGTTTGAACTCAGGGCCTACACCAGCCCCTTTTTTGTGATGAGTTTTTTCGAGATAGGGTCTCGCGAACTGTTTGCTCGGGCTGGTTTTGAACCTGATCCTTCTGATCTCTGCCTCCTGAGTAGCTAGGATTACAGGTATGAGCCACTGGCTCCCGGCACCAGCTCATTTTGCTCAGATTAGTTTGAAGATGGGGCCTGGAGAACTGTTTGCCCTGGCTGGCCTCGAATCTCGATTTTCCTGATCTCAGCCTCCCATGTAGCTAGGATTACAGGCATCCCGCACCCGGCTAACAAAGGGGTTTTAATACACAAAAGGCTTAGCTCACTTGTTCTTATGGCTCTCCGGTGCTCTTTCACTTACTTGCCTTCTTATCCCCTCTGTAAAACGGGCACAGTAATAGCACTTGTTTCAGGTTTTAGGCATATAGAACCAAATAGTCACAAAGTGTCTAGCAAAGGTGTGATTTGTAGCAAGACTGAATCTGTGTTTAATGAGGAATATTGGGTTGTTTTGTTCCTTCACTCCACTAGGCTGTAAGGTCCTCAAGGTCAAAGACAGATTTTTTTTTTCTTTTTTTTGAGACAGTGTTGTTATGCAGCCCAAGATGGGCTCAATCTCTCAATCTTCCTCCCTCTGCCTCCTGAGTGCTATGAGAATTTTCATTCTTGTGGCCATCCTCACTACATTACTGCCTGAGACAGCACAAGTCGAACTTTCAGTAGCCAGGTGCTGGTGTCTCATGCCTATAATCCTAGTTACCCAGGAGGCAGATATCAAGAAGATTGTGGTTCAAAGCATACCCAGGCAAATAGTTCATAAGATGCTGTCTCAAAAATAACCAACCACACACACACAAAAAGGGCTAGTGGAGTGTCTCAGGTGGTAGAGTGCCTGCCTAGTAAGTGTGAGACCCTGAGTTCAAACCCCAGTACTGGGAGAGAAAAAAAAACTTTCAACAGTATCTGCTACGCGGTATGGTAACCATGAGCCACATGCGGTTATTGAGTATGATATTTGAGATGTGGCTGGCACAGTTGAAGAAAATTTATTTGTATTTTTTTCATGGTACTGGGGTTTGAACTCAGGACCTGTGCTTGTTAGACAGGTGCTCTACCACTTAAGCGTCACCCCCCTTTTTGCTTTAGGTTATTTTTTCTTGTAGGGGCTCAGAACTGGTCTTGGGCTGCTGTCTTCCTGTTTCTCCCTGGTAGCTAGGATTACAAATGTGTACCACCACACTTGGCTTGTTTATTGAGATGTGGTCCTGTCAACTTTCTGCCTGGGCTGGCCTCCAACCAAGATCCTCCTGATTTCCATGAGGACATGATCTGCTGCACCTGGCCAAATTTCTTATTTTACTTAATTTTAGTAGCCACATGTGGTTAACTGTACTGGAGTGTGCAGGACAAATATTTATTGAATAGAAAAAAGAATGGTACACTGGAATGTAAAGGACAGGGAGCCATGAGTCAAAAAAAAAAAAAAGGATTAGCTGGTGCCAGAGGCTCATGCCTATAATCGTAGGTACTCAAGAGGCAGAGATCAGGAGGATCGTGGTGCAAAGGCAAATAGTTTGTAGACCCGATCTTGAAAAAACCCCATCACAAAAAAGGGCTGGTGGAGTGGCTCAGGCAGTAAGAGTACCTGCCTAGCAAGTATGAGGCCCTGAGTTCAAACCTCAGTGCTGCCAAAAGAAAAAAAAAAAAGCATAGCAAAAGGAGTGAGAATAAAGGAGCAGAAACTGAAATCAAGACTAGAATACTGTGGGGAGAGGTGGCCCAAACAATGTATATGAATAAATGTATAAACAATAAAAACAAAAGACTAGGATATAGAGGAAGAAGAGAACAGTGGACTCAGACTATAGGAACCTTAAAGTCCATCTGTTTGAACTCCGTTCTGTGCCTGAGTTCCTCCTCCAGCATTGCATCACACTAAAAGATCTGTGAGTGTTCTCCTACCTTCCCCTTAGATCCTTCCCCTCAGCGCTATGGCCAAGTCGCTAATGGAGTCACTCTACCAAAGAATCCACCTGAGTATGTGAAGGTAGCTACTGTGGCTGCCTTCTCCCCAGCATTCACTTCTCCAAGCCAAACTGTTCTTCACAGTACAACTTACAACAGGGTGTTTTTAAAGAAATTGCTGGATCGCATCATAAGAGGAGAGGATTGTACCTCCTCATGGGGCTGTGGTGAGGACCCAAGGAGATAAAGTTCGAGAACTTGCTTTGAACAGAGTCCTGCATTCAGAAAGTACTCAATAAGTGTTCATTATTGTCGGCCTTCTGTTTTAGAATCAGTTTTTGTTGGCCTATCAGGCCTGGGGGGAGAAAGCAAAAAATGAAGGGTTTGATGCTCTGTGAACAGCAAGTGAATGATGTCCCCTGTGACGTGATAAAGCTAAAACATGGAACTAGGGGGATAAAGATGGAGAATCATATGTGGGTACCATGATTAACCTACATGATTAAACCCAATTCCTGAACACCTAGCATGCAATTTTCTGTGTTCTACATACAGCAAGTCAACTGGGCTTACAAGAAACACGAAAAAACAGTTTTCATAGTAATCCTGTCTTTGAGGTTCAAAATTACATTCTATTTGTTTCCATTTAAAAAGTAAATAATCAGAGCAAACAGGACTGCCAGAACCTCTGTTTCATGAAGACAAGATACAGTACAGGTAAAACCTGACTTAAACTGGACCCTTGTTCTCCCAGCCTATGCCCATTCTCTGTGATAACTTACTTGCAAACATTCTTCAGTTTTGCCCTTATCTTTCTGGTGTTTACTAAGGACTCTGTATTGTCAAAAGTACTTGTATTCATGTCAATAAACTCTGTTCCTTCCCAGGATTCTAAGTTAATCTTGTAATGTTAACTATGGCACTCACCAAGACTGAGGCTAAGTGTTTGCTCTTACAGCTTTCTGTAATATTGCTGTGATACCTTTATTGCCCTTGGTTCATCAGTAAATCAAAGATTCTCCAGCTCAACAGCCTTCCACGCTGTTACAAAATCTTATTCCTTATCCCACCTTCCAGATGCCAGCACGAATCAGCTCTGAATAGATGCTAGCTTCTCAGCACATTCCTTGAGCAAGCCAGAGAAAAATGACACCGCCACCTGGCTATAAACACTGCCCATCACTCACCATGAATCAGTCTTCTCCCCTTGCCCACAAGCGCTGGTCCACGCTTTAACTCAAATGAAAGACAATACCAGTTAGCACAGGAGCATTTCCTGAGATGAGTCTGGCAGTCAGGAGTAGGGACATGTCCACCTGTATCTGTGCACTGGGAAGAAGTGTTCACCCACTGCTGTCCCTCAGGCCTCCATGTGGGCCTTGGCACCACGCCTGTGCTGATCCGGGAACCTGCACGGTCATTCTCCTCCTCTCCTTTCTTCTGCCACTACCAGCTTTCCCTCCAGAAACCCTCAGGTCTGTCACCTCAGGATAAACTCCCACCTTGAGCCTATGTCCTCCTCTAGCTCCTTCATTTGTCTGTCTTTTGTGGTCTTGTGATGGAGAAGTTTGTCTCTGCCTTACCCTCAGCCATGCTTCTAGAACACAATGCCCTTGTTCTCACTCTTCTACTCCCAGCCCCTTACCAACTCAGGGCAGACTAGTTCCTACCACATTTCTCCAAAGAAGCCATCCTTCTGCTGCACACATCTGCCAGTGCTGGGCCAGGGACAGCTCCAGGCACTTTGTAGACCCCAACAGCCACTTCCCCTCTCAGCTGCCTGGTTTAGAAGCAGAGATTCTCTTATTTCCCTTTCCCCAATGGCCAAGTTTATTCACCAGTCCCTATAGATTCTGCTTCACAGGTTGTACAAATAACAACCGTTCCTACTTGCTCTTAGATTCAAGTTCATACAACGTGTATAAGATTAAATAACCCAAATCAATCCCATTTACCAACTTCAATAATTGAAAGATTGTAAACAGATATAAACTTAATATACCTGACTTCCTTAAGCACTCTTATGCAGACTAGAGAATACAAGCAATGTTTCTCAGCAACTCTTAAAAATTGAATGAATGGAGGGGCATGGTTCAAGTGGTAGTGGGCTTGCCTAGTGTGCTTGAGGCCCTGGGTTCGATCTTTAGTACTGAGAAAAAAAATGGAATTGTGCAGTGAGTGTAGCTCAGTGGTAAAGCACTTGCCTGGTGTGCACAAGGTCTTAGTTTGATACCTAATACCTCAAAAACAAATTGAATGAATCAAACTGGTAAATCAAGTTGTTTTAAAGAATTCTAAGCTTTTTACAAACTAAAAGGCTTTTATGCCTTTCATTGTA